CAACCATACCACATCAGTGTCTTAGGTCCCTACAGTAAACTTACATTTTACATTGTATCATCATTTATTATTTATAAATTTAGAATGAATATGGCAATGTGTAAGAAAACAACACTAAAATCCTGCCCTGAGAAATCAGATTTTTTAAGACAGACAAGACAGAATGGAAGATCCAGAGGAATTTTTTGTTCTTTTAGCTATATGCATTCCTACCATTCAAAGAACTGGATGTGTTAGGGTTTTACATGCTTTTTCAAGGCTTAACTATTTTAAAATGATCTTAGTACATTAAGTCACTTCAAAGCACGTTGGATATTTAATTGTGAGGGAACTATCATAACATAGAATGCACAACAGAAATATTGAATTATGACCTTCCCAAGGACCCACACTCAGTTGAGTCTCGCCACAACTCACTGTCATTCTTCCCCAAGATTTTGAAGAGGTAGTAAAATAATAAACAGTACTGTACAATCAAAAATCCATATTTTAAATCTCTTTAAATATTAGCTCACTCTATCTAGAAACAGCAAGCAAGATCTCAAGTTACAAATTAACAAAAAGTGTCTCATAGAAAGTTCTTAAAAGGAAAAGGACTGTTAGAATTTAACTCAAACTCTTTTCTAAAGATAAGCAAAAATACTAAAATAAAAAAACATGTCATATACTTTTATAAACCTACTCTAAATTAAAATCAGTAATGCTGAGATAAGATAGGTGAATTCCCAAAGAAAATAATAGAAACCAGTAAGAAAAATTCTATCTGTTGGAGAGAAGAAATGCAAGAGTGACTGTACAGAAAGACATCTGACATCGCCAGAAGTAGTTTTTTTTTCTTCCCTCTTTTCAACTTCTGGCACAAAAGGCATAGAGGAAACCATTTGCTCAATGACTGAAAACTGGTCACAATCAGACAGCGATGCTCAACATGACACCTTCCTTGGTTGTTGCAGCTTTACACAGCAATAATTCTGACTTCAATCTCCAGTTTTAATGGAATACGCTGAGAATAAAAAAAACCTGGGAAATGGTAGATTGTTATAAGATATATCAGGAATAAAAGGTTATTACAAACAGATTAGTCCAGGGTGGAAATTACACAGGCTAAGCAGGAGGCATGGATAATCTGGGTAAGTGCCATGGAAAAATAAATATCATGATTGGACTTAAGGCAAATGGAAGCAGTTCAAATTGGCTTCCTCCAATTCACTGGAGAACATGTGATGCCCACATGTCCATTTCCAACAAACCTCACTATAAAGAAACAAAGGCCAATACTGTGAAGTGTTGAAAAACACATCTACCACCAGCTTCTTCCATACCACAGCAACATGAATTATTGCAGCTGCCTGATAAGCATGAAAGAAAAGAGTTTGGGGGGTTGGGCTTTTTGGGGTTTGGGGGCGGGGGTTTTTTGGAAGAGAAGTACCAGCATTTATCTAAAGCACACCACCTGCTCAGCCAGCGTTGACCTTGCAAAGAGCAGCAGTTCTAGCAGGTTTTCGTCAGGTTAACTTTTCAGAACATCAGTTCCTTTCTCCAACTCCCTGTGAAGCCACAGAAATGCTAGTGTTCACTTAACAGAAAGGCCAGGAACCCCTGGCTAGGGATTGGCTGTCTCTATAATCAGCAGCCCACACTTAAATTGGCTTAAATTGATCATGAAAATCACCGCCTCGCAGCAATAAGTGATCATGTCATTGCGTGAATACAAGGAAAATTTGTGGTAAAGGTGGTCCTAGAGAAAGGACCTCAAAACCCAGCCATTCTTAAGGTCTAAGATTAGCTTTATGGCAAAGTGTTGTTAATCTACTTCTTTACAGAGCCAAATATCAGCAGTAGGTGGATTATGATAAAGTAGAATCTTTGCAGCTTAAAGGATCTTCCACCAGAAATAGTTCTTTTACATGACAAATTTAAGATCATGGCTTGATTAGCAAAACCAGAAGATATTTCAAAAGCATGTTATCAATTTTTAACAAGAAGCAAGATCACAACTACTATGGCAAAGCAGTGCCAATCTTTATGTTTCCGTTACAGATTAAAAAATAATAATAATAAAGCCAGATATTGCACAAAGAGGAGAGACTGAACAAAGCAGTTAATGGTTTGAATTAAATTCAGACAGCGGTAGGACATAAATACTTCATCAGAACAGGAGAGCGTACATGCCGCAGTCAATGGGGGACACGGGAACGCAGCTGTTAAAACAGATCGCTGCCACTTCAGAGTAGGAGCTTGAGTCTTGCTCTAGAACCACACCGAAGCCCCCTTTAATTAGCTTCACTATAAATTCATAACTGCTCATCCCAACAGACCAACCAAAGGCAGATGCAAACACTGTTAGCCACATTAACCCTGGCTGCTGCACTGCCTACTGCAATCAACATGCTTTTAGCCCTGCTGGATGGGTTAAGTTATCTAAGTTTGAGTGATTTTTTTTGACTTATCAGCAAATTCCTTGCTATTTCCAGTGGCTATACCACCACATTTTAGGGCAATCTTGAGGCTGTCCATATTTCTTCCTCCTTTAAAACTACTTGAAAACACTCCTCCTTTGATGAAAACTCAAGAGAAAATACAGAAGTTTCACTTTTCATCATTAGCAAAAGCACAAAAGGACTCTGACATCGAATGTGTGAGGCATTCTGTAATTCTTACATGAATAAATCATTAGACTTACTGGGCTGGCAAATGCTCTTGACCTTTGAGCCTCAAATCAAGTATGACAACTGCAGGTTCTGTTGAACTCAGATTTGCAGCAGAAAGAAATAAAATAGTGTTGATGACGCGCAGTCAAATATACTAAAACTGGAATACTTAAACAGAAAAAACCTGCTGTTTTTCCCCCGACATGGAATTCCATTTTGCACCCCCCACTTCTCATTCTTTCCCAGATGAAACTAGTAGAATTCTTTGGAGTAGCTACAGTGTGGTTAAGCAGAGGAAGCTATGCTTGTTTGCGTGGAATCTGCTATTTCCTCTCTGCCAAAACACTTGTTTAAAGAAGTCATGTAATATTTCTATTAAGCTGTAAATGCAGTTGACAAGGAAATGGCCTACTGGCAGTGCATTACCTTTGTGGCAGTGCCAACCAGCCTACAGCAAAATAGTGCACATGGTAATTCCAACATGCATTCCCAAGTAACAAAATTGTGCCTTACATAAATACCACAGAACTCCAGCAACATCTACAAAAAGTAATGAAAATTTGCCCAAGCTTTCATGCTTGCCTGTATCAATTCTATGTCATAACTAAAACAAAGTAGGAAAGCATCTACATATGTCCAAAAGTCCTGTGAAGCTATATCATATGACACTGGGAAAACTATTGCAACTTAAATCTGTGTATTTCTTGTTAACCACTGTAACAACTCAGTAATAAAAATTAAGAAAAACCGTAGGTATCAAATATACAAAAGAGTACTAACAGCACACAAGCCCTTAAAAACTATAATGTAATTTATTAACAAGAACACATGTTCTATGTAATCCAGAATTGTTATGTTAAATTACTTTGGCCTTTGATAGCATTCATTTGATTACAAGAATTAAGCAGATTCACAAGCTTTCAAACTCAGTGACCTTTGATTTATAAGCAGCTATTGTCATGCATATAAAAATCCTCTCTGATAATATAGTCCTCACCTTTCAACAGCTAGTGCAACTACATGTAACGACATTAAAATTAACTCAGATGTAATTAAGACATTTTTTTAAAAGTACAACTAAAAACCCCAGCATGATCAAACATATTTAATTTGTAATCAATAGTTCTTCAAAATATTTTTCAATGTTATTTCATCTTAAATTAAATTTCCATCAAAAACAAGCTTCAGAGATACTTATTTTGTTCTCAGCTTTCATCTTTTTCAGTTTGAACACTAAATTTAAAATAGTTAATTACACAGAAAAAAAAAATATGGTGCATGAAAATTACTAAGCTTTGTTTCCAAAATTATGTAATGTTTCTCATTGCAAAACACTCACTAGCTTTAACCATGCTGCACATTGCCATAAAACTTCAGGAAACAAAAGCACACACAAACAAAAAAGTTAAAAAAAATAAAAATCAAGACCCCAACAGCACTAAACACACTTGAACTCATATATGCATCACCTTACAGTTATCATATATGAAAAGTAGCTACTCTTTCAACAGTAGTGGCTTCCTTATATTAAGATCCTGATATATGAGGCACCGGAAAAAGAAAACTGAATAAAATAATGTAGTATGCATGTCATTTTTGCAGCAATTCAAGCTGGAAAAAAAAAATAATCTGCTTTTAGCAATATGGAGGGCCTTATTAATATCAAATGGACTTTAGATACGAACAATTCAAGAATGGAGTATTTATTGATGCTCAGTGCAATCAGTCCAGCTATTCTATTGCTCATTTGAAAAAAATAAAAGCATGACTAACAGTAGCAACAGTTATTCCTAGATAAATATTGTTCCCCAGGAACTTCTCCAAGAAATTTCTTCATAACTGCTACTACTCATAAAGCAACTAATTCTTTTTACATTTTATTTTGCAAAAGGTAAACTAATTCAGTAACAGACTTTAAGAGTCAGTAATAAATAAAAACTGTCAGGGGTTACTAACACTAGCAGCGCTAACACAGGACAATTCTGAATCCTTCTTTAGGTCATCTTTACTTCAAAACTCCCTTTCAAAGGAGGATGGCCTCTTGGTTATGGAGCTCTCCAAGTGTAGGTACAGTATGGAACAGGCTCTATATGTTGCCTTCAAGTCAATTAAGCACTTATTGCTTTAGTTCCCTCTCAAGTAGAGATAAAAGCATTTTGAAACCTTACAAAGACGTGTTAAAACAGAGGCAAACTGTGGTAAACAGGAAGCAAGACGGCAAGTAAAAATCCTTAGTCTTAAAATCTTTGTCCATAAACGTACAGTTTTATGATTCCGCTATATAGACTTTTCAGGGTTTTTTGGTCATTATAATACAACAAACAAGAAAACACCACCACACACTCTTACCCTCATTGGATGAATATCAGCATAGGGAGGCTTTCCTTCAGCCATTTCTATTGAAGTGATACCGAGGGACCAGATGTCTGCCACACAGTTATAGCCAATCTCTTGTATTACTTCAGGAGCCATCCAGAACGGAGTTCCTATAACAGTATTACGTTTTGCCATTGTATCCTGTAATTATATTATTTATGCAATTAAAATAGATATGCTTTCTTTCAAATTCTTTTGATATGAATTTATTTAAAAGTTAAATTAGCCACCCAAAGGTCAAATGGTAATGACTTCCAGTTAAGACCAAACAGATTCAGTCCATCAGTGCACAGAGGCCAAACAGGTGACAATGATCATAAACCTCAAACAAAAGTTTAAGTGGGATCATCATGCACTTGAAGTACACTGGGTTATAAAAATAAACAACGAAAACTAAATAGCCTTGCAATACATTAAATACTCATCATGCTAAAGAATGTTAGCTCTACCAGTACCACTAGTCACTCCTCAGACACAAAATACGAGGCAGGAAAAAAAGTCAAAAGTAAAAGATGATGGTTAGGAACACTAGAGCATTTTTAAATGATCTTTCCACAGGTACTTACTGTTAACTGGCCAGCCACACCAAAATCAGCTAATTTTGCATGTCCCTCGGTGTTAAGAAGGATGTTTCCAGCCTTTATATCTCTATGTATTTTTCTCATAAAGTGCAAGTATTCAAGTCCTTTAAGAGTAGATTTCAGAATAGTTGCAATTTCATCTTCTGTAAGCTGCAAGAAAATATAAAACCACTTTCAGGTATACACATGGAATCTATATATTTGAACTATTTTAAAAATAATCATTTCATAGTGATCATTATAAATAATAGAGACTATGTATATTAATACATTTTATTTTAACACAGGAATATGTCCAATAGCATTTACAATTCAAAACTCTGATCTAACTTGATCCATATAGCTAGATTCTTACACATCTAGAGTCCAGTTAGAGCAAAGGAGCTGCAAAACTACAGAAGGGGCTGACTGATGAAGATCAGATGGCAGAATATGCAATATTCTCTTCCCTGTCAATCAAAAGTTACTACTCTTTAGATGTTGACATCCTTCATAAAGACTGCAGCACAGTTTCTACAATATACAACTAATACATTTATCACTAAGATAACACATATTAATTGTCAAGTTATGCATTACCTTTGTCAAAGGTTATGGTGGTCACCACTGGACTAGATGACACACACCAGAATACATCCCTGGAAAAAGATAGCCCTTTCTCTCCTGTGGAAGGCTAGAGCTATTGCCCTTAAGTTCTTTACACAGTTTTCCCAAACTAGCACAGTGCTACATTTGGAAAGAGATGAAAGGAATGCCATGTTTTCTTCATTTCTCAAATTCCTACATATGAAATGCCTGCTAAGTCTACAATTAGTAGTATCAAAGTTTTGTCCACTAGCTATTCCTAATTGCGCTACTATTAGTTTCTCATTGCGAGCAACTTACAAGTTAGAGAGGATCAATTAAGAGCTTCTTCACAAGAACAAAAAAAGCACAAAACAAAAATCAAGGGATAAAGGTGTGCAGAAAACAGCCAAATGATTATTCACCACAAAGCTCGTGAAAAATATATTCGTCAGGGACACTTGCTACTTATTACCTGCAGGGAGAAATACAGAAATGCAGAAATACAAACACCCCAACAGTTCCCAGCTAGTTTACAGAGCTTTTACATTCCTTTTACAGCTAGTACCTTTATTTGGTAAAGAATGTAAGTAAATGCTAATTTTTGAAAATAAGTATTTCACCATGCCTGTGCTCCATACTGACACAAAGCTGTAGAACTACACCCATACAGATGTGCCCCAGTGGCCTTCCCAAAACCCTATTCAGCCCTGAAAAAGGACAACTAAAATGTCAGAGTACTCTTACGCTGGAAGTTGCCAACAACTATTATCACCTGTTCCTTTAAACTGTTACAATTACAGAAATGATTGAGGATGGATGCTAACCAGATGCTATGGGCTTTTTCTTAAACCGTTCTTTTCTTGTTGCTGACTGATGAAGAAAATGAGTGCTCACTGAACTTTTCGGTTCTTTTTAAATTACCTGCATCACTTGACAATTGCAAGATGATATCCTCATAAGAAAATATAATCAGATTGAATATGGCTCTTAAGTTTCAGCTACAAGTACTGTGTTTTCTAAATACCTACAAAAAATGTTAGCTTGTTGTCTATGCAAAGGTTCCCTGTTAGTTCTTAATATTAAGTGTACGTAATCCACATGAGCTATGCTCTAATATATCGTGTTACTATCGCACTGTAAAGTTGTACAATTGAATTAACAGAAATCTTAACATAGCTGGTGGCCCTGAAGATATGTTATAAGACAAGCCACATTTTAGTAAGGACAACTACACTATGTGAAGACAATGCAACATGTCAGCCATGACTTTCAAAGTAGTTGCAGCCTGTTAATATCTTCTGGTCTCTAAAAATCATAATCCTTTACGTAACATTTACTAGTGCATATCTTCTGCCGCCATGCTGAGTTTTTAACAGGTTTCTTCATGTTCTTTAATAATAACATGGTCTTCAGTTACTTTTGAGAATTAAGGTGGAAAAGTTGAGGCTCTTTAGAACTTTACAGTTCCTGAAGCCAATAATACATTTTGCACAGTTATACCCAGCTCTCTTTCATATCATATTTGCTGTTTATTTTTCAGCCAGGATGAACGGAAAGGTACTCTCAAATTAGTCAAGTAACTGAATACAAAATAAGAAACAAAATTGAAAATTTGAAGAGTAAGGAAAAAAATTGCAATGGGGATATTTATTGCACTCTGTAAAAGCATCACAAAGGAAACACTAAAAAAAAAACCCTCTTTTGCTTGGCTTATTTTTTAAGAAAACCAGAAAAACTTCATTTTTAAAGCTAAAAACCAAAGATTATTATCAATTATTAAACACCTACTATAAATAAAGAGGCGATGTAGTTTGGGCAGTCCAAAACACTTCTTTTATTTACTGCTTTAATATGTTGCAGAATTCATACATTATAAATATATAATAAGCTGCAAGTATCAACTGACGACAAGCTGACAGATGTTTCACTACCAAATAAAATACAATACAGTAAAAAAAAACAAACCCACAACCCAAAAAGAGATATTTTCATTTATCTGCCTCATAAATTACATAAACAACTGTGCTTGCTAGTAACTTAGTAGTATATCTTCATCGCTTTAGATCAACATAAAAGGAATACATACATAAGCTCCTGAACAAGCATTATCAGAGAAAAAGTAAGAGTGAATCTTTTGCAGGTACCAGACACCCCAAGAACACTCCTGAGATTTTGAGTACTATTTTTTCTAGAATAAAAGCAAAACACACACACAGTTCATCCCATGTGATACAATTTCTCAAGGATATAAAAAGAATCTATTCATGCAACTGAAACGCTGTTCAATTACAGTACATCAGTGCTTTAAGAACTAAGCAAACAAACTTTATACATTCTTAGAAATGCAAGAAACTACAAAACTGAAGACGAATACTCTAATTTGGTTGCAACACTGGGCTGCATTTTTCCCCCCTTTCTGTACTCTTCCAGCCCTATACAGAAATTAAATTAAGCAACAGCAATTCTTTTCCATTTCAAAGTGTTGGTACACATCCGCACCTCCCTCAAAAAAAAAAAAAAAACACCACCAAAAGCCCACAAAAAAACCCACTCATAATCACTCAAAGCCAACAGAATGACTCAACAGAAAGGAAAAAAATGATTAGTCAGCAAGATGATCTGCACTCGAGTTGCTCATAACAAGTTTTAATTATTTAACAAACAGAACAACTTCCCTATTCCAGCTACTATCCAGTCTCATAAAACCTGGGCATGGAGCCCAAGGGCACAGTTACACATACATTTATTTGAACAGCAGTGCCAAGCTCCAGTCCAGTCCCTCCTTACACTGCAACCTACAACAGTAATTCCCACTGTGTGTCAGCTCTTCCACTGAACAACTGTAACTGACCCTAGTTAAAAATAAACCCGTCTGCCAAATTATTTGTCCAACAACTCAGTTCCGCAATTCAATTCACGGCATAGTCAACAAGGATGTAGCAGAGTAGGAGCTGCTCAAATTGGCATTGCTTTCCAAATATTTACATGTGTTGCTATACCCAGAGAGTCCCGATGACTTTTATAAGTCTTTCCTATGCAAGTAAATGATTAAATTGATGGTGGCATTAGCTCTACACTCCACAGCAAGCAGTTACCGCCTCTGCTTCGCGTTATACATTCCTTGCCTGCCATTTATTGTGGAGATTTTTCAGTGCGTCTATTCAGTGGCACACTGCTCAAAGCCTTTATTTGTGCTGCTTCTTTATGCTGACTGCTCTGCTGCTTCAAAGGACTGTATGCCAGAAGAACTGAAAACCCTGTTATACACAGCTTAAACAAGACAGCTTTCCTGGCATTGAGCCAAGGGAGTGAAACCACCTATGTAATCTGGAGACAAGAAAGAAGGGACTTCCAATTAACTGCAAGATAAACTAAACTATGGTCAGAAGGATATCTGGAGAAAGAGACAACCTTCGTTATATGAGCTAACAATTGTGTGTGAAGTACACTAAAACTGTGATTATCTGAAGACTCAAGCTACAGGCAATTTAAACTCTGGCTATTAACAAATTCTGTATCATGAATTTCTATGACATGCTGAGTGTAACACTTTCTGCCAGAGCTTTGCCAAATCCACCCCACTTCAAAAACAATACAATGTCCTGAATCCCAAAAAGCTTCCATGCAGTTAATCCTGAACATGCATCAAAAAATGATCCCGAGCACTGACAAATGTATAGCACGATAGGCATATAACTTACTGCCCACTTTCATCCAGAAACAAGTATTAAGAGAAACTGTGCTTAGAAGGTTCTGCAGAGAAGGTCTCTCTTCAGTATGTTGTGTTCTGAAGGAGGTAAATCCCTAGCTTTAGTTCTTCAAAAAATAGTGGCTAAACCACATGGAGATCTTTGGATCTACTCTAGACTAGTGCTTTTGCAGCTGCATGGCAAAATCCAGCTCTCAAAAGGAGAGGGTAACAGTACACCTGTACCAAAAGGTTGACAAAGAAGCTAAGGACTGACAATCCAGCAAACCAGAAGAGCAAGTTCTAGAGTACTTCAGCCTGATGCACCATCTGGGGACCATCGATAAAGGAAAGCTGTAGCATGACTATGTGTTTCAAAAGTAGGAAGTATTTAAGTAACGTCAAAATACATACAGCACTCAGAAAAGCCGATAGAAGTGAATGTCACCTATATGAAGTAAGCAGAGAGCACGAGTTGTGTTTATCTGGAACAGCAGTAACAGGGAAGCACATGGAAAAGGGAGAACAGGCTTACTCTGCCACAAGTGTTCTGAGACACATCAGTCCCAACTCCAGATATCCTAGGTGCATCTGCTTGTGCTGCATAAAGTGTGCGTATGTATGTATACATATACACACAGAGAGACATTTAACTACGGCAGTATGGCAGCCAAACCATACATACACCATTTCTTCCCTTACCGGACTTACAAAGTATTGTACAAAAAGTTCCAGTTATGTTGTTTCTGTAGACCAAAACTGTTTTGCACAACATTAATGGTATTTAAGTATTTTGTATGCTGCAAAGAAAGCAAATGGTATCCTGGGCTGCATTAGACAAAGTCTTGCCAGCAGGTGGAGGGAGGTGATCCCTCTGCTCTGCTCAGCACTGGTG